CAAAAAAAAGAAAAAAAACATATACTATATTAAAAGACGCACAAAAAAGCAGAAATAGCAATATTTGCAATTTAGTATTTTTTTATTGGTAAAACTAATATACAATTACTTACCTCTTTGTTTTTCGTCTTTTGAATCTCTTCCTTGGCCGACTATACTTTCGTCGTAGTACTCATCTATTCCTGTATTTTCCTGCAACATTATCTTGTGTTTTTCGTAATCGTTTAATTTATTATTCAAAATTTTTTTTGGTGTATAAAACAATTTTGAATCAAAGATATTGAATGCTAAAGGCTTGTTGTTTTCTAACCAATATTTTGCGTCTATTGCCTCATATAAATAGTCTTGCAATGTGATTAGAAAAATAGTTGAGTTATTTGCTAGTCGGACAACTTTTGCATTTTTTTTATCGTTTTGTGCAATGAATTTTTCTGTAGATTCTGCCTTGTCTAGTGATACGATTGGTAGTTTATATGTTCTTACGAGTTTTTCATTCGTTTCTTCGATAACAGCGTATTCGTAAAGAAGTTTAACGTAATTTAGTCCTAATTCGTATGCGTAGAAGAGATCCAAATTCCAGTGAGGAATAATGACTTCTGTTACTTCTTCTTCAGCCAGTTGTAGTACCTCGTCCTTCATTCTGAATAAGCTTTCCGAATTTCTTTTTGGTGTTTTTATTATTACGTTTCCCGCATATCCGCTTGAAGATCTTTCTTCTTCGCACATAAATTTGATGTAAACGCCGTGTTTTTTCATTATTTTTTGAATGTTTTTTCCGCCGTATCCGATTATTCTTTTATGATGTTTTTCATGAAGATGGAAGCATAGTTCAGCGGGGAATTCCCATTCCAGTTGAGAGATTGTGTTGTAAATATTTTCGCTTTTTCCATATATGTAAATGCTTATTTGTTTCGTTTTTCCTTGTTTATACTCTATTTTTACTTCACAGTTGTTATCTTTTGATATTTTATTTATTTTTCCGTTTTTTTTGCCGCATAGGAAATCTTCTAATTCGTGATCTATCTCTATTTCTACTTCGTAATATGTTTCGCTTAATCTGTCTTCTTTTTGGATGAAATGATTTATAAATTCTTTGATGTCTGATCTGAATCCTATCGCAATGCATTTTGAACCTGCTTTACTCTGTATGTTCGATGAATTATAAGATGTTTTGCTGCTTGAGGAATATGATTTGTTTTTAAGCGAGAATGCATCTCTATTATTATAAAGATTATTTTGTTCGAATGTTGGGCTGGTATATGCGGAGCTATAATTCGAAGAATGGCTTGATATGCTATTATAGCTATATGGATATGAGTTTTGGGTATTTATGGCATTGATGTTGTATTTGCTCATGTTTGATGGCATGTGTAAATTTATATTTGCAGTATTTTGAGCACTATTAAATGTATTTTGCGCACTGAAATTGCATTGATTTGGTATTATCTCGTTTCTGTTTGCAGAAAAGTTTCCGCCAGAGTCATTTTGTGCGGAAAAATTTGCACCGCATGTATTACTCGAAGATTGTAGGTTTTTTAGAAATTTAAAGTTGCTAGAATTTGAAAAAGAACTCAACAAAATAGAAGGATTTCCTCTGAAATCTTTTACCAGACATGTATCACTTTTTCCATCATAATAAAAATCATCGTAAATTTTGTGTCCGTGATATATTTGATTGATACAGTTGTTATTTTTTGTATGCAATGTTAGCTTTGAGTTTTCTATTGATTTTCTCAAATTTTCATATTTATCGCATTTTCCATCTGAATTTTCATGTTTTTGCTCATTATTGTCTATCATATTTTTTCTACTATTTTGTTCAAATGATTCATAAACAGACGATAAATTGCCCTGTGTGTTTTGCTGGTCATTTTTTTCAGATATATTTTCATCATTAGAAATACTATTCACACATTCTGAAGTGTTGCTAGTTTTATTAATTGATGAAATACTTTTTTACCAAATAAATATTTTTTTCAACGTTATCTGAATTTAAAACACTTTTTTTATTATCTATAATTTCCGTATGCTGCATATCTAAATTTACATTCGAGTTATTTTCACTGTTTTTATATGATATATTGATATCTTTACAGGCACATGTATATTTTTTTTCTACATATCTATGATCCAACTCGCCTTTAAATGTGTCATTTTGCATTGTTTCATTGCTTGAAATTTTATAAATACAAGTACAAGTATTATCTTTTTTCTCGGATTTGTTGTCTATTATGTTATTGTTAAACAAATAATCGCCAAATCTTTGTTTATAACTCTGATCATTATCACTTTGGTGGACGTTTGAATGTAAATTTTTACTTGAATCTTTTTCATATGAGGAATTTGAAGATTCAACTGCGCTTGATTTGTTGCTTGTATCACTTTTTCCGCTAAAATTAAAATTACCATAACTGCTGTATGTATTGTCCGAATCACTGTTACTGTTGCTTGTAATTATGTTTTCGGTAGAAAAATCATATTTAATGTTTTTTTTGTCAAAACAATGATCTGAAGAGTTATTTCCATTATCATCGGATATTCTGAAGTGAAAAATTTTAAAAGTGTGTGGACGTGGTTTTTTTTCGTAATAAATAACCTTTATTGTTTCTTGAAAAAGATCTTTGATGTTTTTGATGCATTTTTTAATATTAACGTCATAGAAACCTTTTATTGTTACTTCAATTTCGCTAGAAAATTTTAAATCCTCGTTGTTGAATATTAGATAGCACTCTCTTTCGCATAACAAATTTTCGATCACTAGTCTTTTGTAGTAAATTAGATACAAGAATTTGTATGAATCAGCGTGGAAAGATCTCTTAAACAAATATTCGTTTGAATTTAGTTTCTTTGCTATCTCGTTGATGACGGTTCTTCTGCCTGTTATTAAGATATCTTTGCAGTTTATGCGAGAAATGGGATATACGCCGACGTTTGAAAAGCGCCTGATATCTTCAATCAAATAATATCCATTGAGGACCATCACGTCTCTTTCAAACATTTTTTCTATCATCTTGTAAGTTTCGCTGATCCCAGGAAATAAATTGTCAACAGAACCACCCAAATAAATGCTTACATCGTGTGAAATATTCAATTCGATGTCTACATTGTTTTTTTTCGAAATTTTGCTGATTTCGCTGACGAGATCATTTTTCATCAAATACAAGCACGGTGGAACCATGATTCTTTTGAAAAACCTGAATCCTTTCTGCAAGACAAAGGCCGGACAAACATCGTCATCTTCTTCTATTAAGCCGATCCTATCTATAAATATATGGGAATCGTTGTTTACTCCCCTAAATACATTGATATCAGCCTTTTCTACAAGTATTTTCTTCAAAAGCTGATATGTTTTATTTGCATTTAAGGTTTTCAGATTGTCAACATTTTGCGGGTTGAAAACTGTAAAACTGAAACCCGAAACATGGTATAAATTTATGGCGTACCGAGTTTTCATTGATTTACTTTCACTCATTGTATTTATATTTAAGTTATCTATATCAGCTGGTTTGTTTTTGTATTATGCTAGATTTATTTCTTAGCTTTAAGTGGCTGCCAGTGAAACAAAGATCGATTATCTATTTTAAGGATAGCAGATCCATTGAAACAATCTTGATCTTCTTTTTGATAAAATGTTTCGAGATTTTTTTAAAAAAGATTGCACATCAGAATTTTTTAAAAGATTGCAATTTTTTCTAATTTCTATTATTAATTCTAAAATCATGATTTGATTGCTCATTTTTCGATCATTTATCTAATTTTTGAAACAATAAAAATTTATACCAATTAAGGATATTTAAAACAAAAGAAATTAAATAAATTCATAAGTAAGCCGTGAAAACTTAATTATTGTGTGTTTATTGTATTCTTTTCGCCAAATTTTAGATTTATATGAAAATTTTCTAAAATGTATTTTTGCAAAGTTCACAGAAAGTAAGATGTCGCAATCCGGTTTGATCTAAAACTGATTTCAATGTAATTTTATGAGATGATATGATTTGTAAAAAATTAAAATTATATCAATCCGATATGACGTTTCAAATTTCACTTCTAAAAACATATAAATTTAGATAAAAAACACTTTGCAAGTAAAATTCAATGAGAATAAATATACAAATCTCATAATTAATATATCCTCATAGATTGTATAGTAGCTGTAAATTAAAAAAATAAAGAAAAAAGCAAAAAAAATCATTGTATATTCTTTTTTAAAACATGTGTGTCATCACTTTTCTAAAACTAATCTACTCTTATAAGATAAAAAAGAGGTAAACCAAAATTATAAAAAGATAAAGATGTATAGCTAAAAAAATGAAAAACAATAATCACTTACACGTTTTTATTTTATTTACCCACCACGCAAGGCAAGAACCATATGTACAACATTCCCATTTTTTAAATTATAATCCCCCAGCTTCTTTTCGTCATTCGTGAAAATAGCACCGTTGAATATCAATTTTTGCTGAACAGGTGGAATTCTCTCAACCTCTTCAATTCTCTGCTTCAATTCTTTGACTGTATCTTCACTATCGACTTCAATTTCAATCACCTTCCCACTTACTGTTTTGATTTTCAGCATCATCTCGATAAAATTTCCAGGGCATTCGTATTTAAACGAATAAAAAACCACAGAAAAATAGAAATTTGAGGAATAATTGTGGGAATGTAAATTAAAAATATTAAAAGTGTACTATAACATGAATTACTTGTGGCAAATAGTACATAAATAAAATGGTGCGAGAGGGATTCGAACCCTCGCCCGAAGACTAGCGCCTAAAGCTAGCGCCTTAGACCACTCGGCCATCGCACCTCTAAATTTTTAAAAGATAGACCTAAATACAAATTTTAAACATATATATTATTTACTGATTTCATTTAATAAATGTTTATTATATTTAATTTACCAAATAAACAATAAAAACTTGATTTACAGAATTTATAGACAACAGTAATGATATAAAAGTCATTCAGAATCTTTTTTTGTACAAAAATGTATATATTAATATTATTTAGTAAAAATTTTAACGTTTATAATTATAATTAGACTAAAAATTTAATATCATCTACTTATAACATATTCATTGCATTAAGCTTTGTTGGGAAATAAAAATTTACATAAGAATCACTATAAAACAGCCAACAATAAAATACATTTAATATCTTTTAAATAAAATTTTACTTGTGCATAATATTGGTTTAATTAACTGCCGTATTCGCTGGTTGGCCGAGAAGAGTGGCATAAATAGTACGCGTAAAGACAATATAGAAGTGTTGATGATTTATTTACGAAAGTGAAAGGTTCAGTTTTGCTCTCACTGTTAGTGTTTAGGTATGTAGCGCCAATATTCTCCATCCTCGGTTCCATCTATGTGAGGGCAAGAAGTATCTGTTTTTATAGCCTTGGTGGAGATCACTTTTCTAGGCAAATGTTATAGGGATGTTTTTTTTGTGGGAAAATGCTTTGGTTACCTCTAACACAAGAATATAGTGTACATTGCACCACAATAACTTAACAACTTAAAATGTCTGTTCAAAATCCCCTGCGCATTAATATTTTTAAAAACCACCTCAATGATAGAAATTATTAAAGAGAATTAAAAAATGCCTTACAATCGATCGTGCAATAAAATTGTGTATATTTTTAATTAGATTGGATTTTTTTCAAAGAATACAAATTGTACTTTAAAGATATAAGCGACCTGATCAATACGATATTACGACGCAATTGTTGTGTGGTGAAGATTAGTTAAAATTGGTTAAAAAAAATTTCATAATACTAAAGTTAATTTAGATCAATATTTTAATTATAATTTAAATTTAGTACTGTTACTTTTGTTAATTTCTTTTTATTCTTATTCCTTTAGGGTTCGTAAAAATTGTCTAAATCGTCTTGTAAAAGACTACTTTCATACAGTGTTTAAATTTAAAAACTTTCATAATAAAATACTCTTCATTTTCAAGCTTAAATCGTTTTATTATGAAGTTAATGATGCAAAATATTGCTGTGTTAAAAAAAATACATATGTTTTTTATAACAAATATATAATGCACAACAATTTCAAATCTAATGTATTGCAATAATAAAATAAACATAGAAAACATCTAAACAGATAACATTTGTATTTTATCTATATCACTTAACTACATTTAATATTAAAAAAATTATGTCGCATAGGTTTAACTTTATAACCCATATTAATAAAACTGACCCCTCGATAAATTCATTAAAAAAACTAGTTATGTTAATTCTTCAATTTATACTAATCAATAGGATTAGATCAATTTTCAAACAACAAACTAAAAATTGAGTAAAAGGTTATTTTTGCTGTTTAACTTCAACTTTGGGAAATTTCGCTTGTAAATAATTTAATTGGTTATTTTTGAAATCAACCATTGTGAATTCAACTTAGCTAATAAAATTATAGTTGTAAAACATTTTGTGTTATGATTGTTTGAAAATTGATGTAAAAATTTAAAATTACTGGCACGTATTTATTTAAATATCGATAAGAAATCAAAGTAAAAAATTAAAACTTAAAACTGAAGCAGCATATTCCAAGGAATAAAATTTATTATAAACTACATAAGTTAATGAGCAATACTATAGTATTTATAGAATTAATTAAGAATAAAGATTGTACAAAAGAAAACTAAGAAAATCTTTCTTATGTTTGAAATAAGTGTTTTAAATACAAATATTAAAATATACACATATCAAAATTAAAAAAAATATTAAAGTATCTATTTGGCATCTTATTGTACCCATGGTAGTTTACTGCAATTTTTATTTTTGTGAAATTCATATTATTTCTAAATAAATTATATTTAATAATATTATTCTGGTTTTCGAATTTACGGAAAGGAAATAAGATTTTTTGTGTATTATTATATAGATAAAAAAGCACATGTATGATTCTTTAATATATAAATCAGCACTTAAGTTTCGGCTATATATTGGATAAGCCTTTGATACTGTGTTCGATATTTAATTAAGAATTCACATGATAAAAGATTTCAAATTTTATAATATAGCTTCTATAACGAGCTATTAGACACAAAAAAATTAATACTTGGATTTTTCTATTCTTTTTTTATGCATAATGATATCCGATAATTAGTATAAAGTCATTTAGTAGCTCTTTTTTCTTTAATCTTTTATCGATATCTTATGACCTAATTTGACACACATCGGTATGCAGCCTCCTAAAATATACTTTTAACAGTTATGTTGATGTGTGCCAATCACCTTTTTTCTCAGCCTATCACAGGTTTTCTGCTTTCTATATAATATTTAACTGTTCAATATCTATCATATGTGCCTTTTTTCGAATATTTGATGTTCTAAAAGTAAGTAACATACTTACATTGCTTTTTCTTTTTCAGATCTTAATAGTAAAAAAATATTTTTAATTTTCCACTAAACTAAGATTGTGCCTTTACAAAATATAATAAATAAACACAAACCAAATTATAATTTTTAATCTTTTTGCACACAATATTGACAAAGAAAACATATAAAAAAACCAAACATAATAAAGTAGCAGAGGATGATACCATCTCTAAAAAACTGTTAAAATATATAATATACTATAAAAATATTCAACAATAAAGCATATTACATATTTTTATATCATTTATTAATAAAAATATTATAAGTTCGCTACATTCGACTCTCTAGTTGAACTTTGTCTCAAAATATAATATTTGGATTCATATGAATCATAAGCATCTATAGTATTTTTATAAATGAAAAAAAAAGTGCGATATCATTATGTGTTCAGTAAGGTAAAGTTTTTTATATCAAAAATATCAATTTTCACACATCAAAAGATAACATTACTACCTTAAAGTCAATAAATAAAAATTGTTTTTGCTTGTCTATATATATGCTAAGCAAAATAAATGTATTTAAAACTTTTCAGCTTATTTTTCTTAATTTTTTAACTGTAATGAAATGAAGAATTTTTGTTGAAATTCGTATATGTAAATACATAAAAAAATGTTTTGCAAAAATTTTAGTAGCGACAACAATACGAGTTTATGAAATCCACATATTCTATCAAAACATAAAACAAAGTAATAAAGAAAATATTACACCGAAGTGCATAACGAAATGATAATAATACTTCAAATATATATTTTATAAATTAAAAAAAATTGTTTAATCAATTTTTTTACAAGGCCATACATAGTTGAAACTCAATTACATAAGTAATTTTGAAAAGAAATAGTTCTGATTCTATTGTTATAATTGAATGCAAAAAATTTACATGATATTTTTATTAATAGTATAATTACTATTATTTCTGAATAATTCGACTAAAAATTTAAAAAAAATTTCGTATTTTTTTAATGATCAAATATTATTTATTAGTTTTGTATTTTGATCTAGTATATTCAATATATATTAAAATAGTAGTAGGACAATGGTTTTTTTGAAAGTCACTTATTTAATAATAAAATCATTTAATACTTACATTTTTTTTGCATGAGAAATTTGATTGTAAAATATAAAAATTAGAATTCAAAATTAGAAATTTGAAGTAATATAAATCGTTTATTTAGTTTTTTATATATATTATTTTGAGAATCATGATTAAATATTAAAAAAATCATAAATTTTACTACAACATAAAAATGTTAAAACAGAGTATCTTGCTCTTTCTCCCTTAATTTCAGAGATATTTTTTCTTTTTTAAAAACAGCAAAATCTGTTATAATATTATTTATTTTTACGGATTTTCATACAATTTTTTCATCAATATTTCCATTTGTTTATCTTCATCTGATTCTTTCTTTTTTAAATAATGTTTATTTTTCGATAAAAGCAATGTTTTTCAAAAACATACAAAGTGATACCATTAATTCGCTCTTTGAATTTTTGTACTAAAAATTTTTTGTTTATATTTTTATTTTAAAGAAAAAGCAGTTTGTAAAGTTGGGAATGATGTAAAAATCAAGATAATCAAGCGCATGTATCAAAAAATCGACTAATTGTTTATAGTAATAGTGAAATTTATTGCGTAAAAAGCAAATACAAAAACCTGTGAAAAATAAATAAATTACAACTTTTTTTTACAAAACAAAAAACAAGCAATTTAATATATAGTATTCTTTCAACTTTCATTGTTAATAAGATATATCAACAAAAATATAGCTTTCAATTTGTAAGATTATCTCGTGCAAACTGTTAAAAAAAACATATAGAAAAATATAATATATATACGAACCATTTAATTTCATCTATTTCTTTGTACTAGTTTTTTTTCTGTTTCGATAATACACTTACTATAACAAAACAAATTTGTTTCTTTATGTAAATATTCAAATGTTTTGGCCTTGTTATCTACAATGTAATATTTTGTTAGTAATTTCGATATCGTATCAATATAAAAATATCAATTTTTTAGAATTTATAAAAATTAAAAAAAAAATTTTATTTTTTTATCGACTGTTATCAAACAAAAATTTAACAATAAATAATTGGCTAATGAGCTTGATCAAAATAAATAATAAAATTAAAATTTTTGTTAGACATATATATTTATTATTTGTCTTTTTAAAGACAGTTTTGGTTTTCTAGAGCCAATTTCGTTTTCTACGTAAAGTTAATGAACTGACTTATATCAGTATATTTAAACCACCTGTCAAAAATCAAAAACATCAAAATATTAACAAATATAAATTATCATGATAATAAAAAAACAAATAATTAATATTTCTAAAATGTCCAAAACAAAATAATTAAATCATCTTATTACTGATAGAAACAATTCAAAAGCATGTTAATTAGTTACTATAAACTGTAAC